GGCCAGTCTGCTTCTGACTCCAATGTCCACATCATTAATGAAGATGTTGAACAATATGGGTCCAAGGACAGAGGCTTGGGGGACCCCACTGGTCACGGGGCACCACGACGATTGACTTCCATCAACCACCACCTTCTGGGTCAGACCACAGAGCCAATTCCCCAGCCAGCAGATCGTGGTGGACCCAAGGCCGCAGTTGGCCAGTTTTGCCAAGAGGTGATCATGGGAGACCAGCTCGAAGGCTTTTTTGAAGTCAAGATATATGACATCAATCTCTCCCTTGTCCAGGTGATAGGTCACCTGGTCGTAAAAGGAAATAAGATTGGTCAAGTAAGACCTACCTGCAACACACCCGTGCTGGCTATCCCTCAGGATGTTGCCATCAGCCAGTCTGTTGAGAATGGCCTCTTTAATAATCTTTTCTAAGCCTTTCCCCGGGATAGAGGTCAGGCTGATGGGCCTATAGTTTGCTGGATCCACTTTCCTCCCTTTCTTGAAGATAGGCACTACGTTGGCCTTCTTCCAATCTTCAAGCACTTCACCAGAGTGCCAGGAGTTCTTGAAGATCCATGCCAGGGCCTGGGCTATGATGCTCACCAGCTCCTTGAGTACCCTGGGGTGAAGATTGTCAGGGCCAGCTGACTTGAAGGTGTCCAGCATCTCAAGGTGTTCCTTCAGAAGGTCAGCATGGATGGAGGTCAGGCTATCTCCCTCACCCAAGCCTCCCTGTCCTGTAATGGGCAGGGGCGTCCCGTAGGACTCATGAAAGACCGACGCAAAGTACCCATTTAATAGGTTGGCTTTTTCCTGGTCATCAGCTGTCAGTTGTCCCATCTGGTTTAGCAGGGGTCCAATGTTGCCCTTGCTTTTCCTCCGGCTCCCCACATATCTAAAAAAGGACTTTTTATTGTCCTTGATACTTACAGCTACTTGGAGTTCTGTCGCAGCCTTGGCTTTCCTGGTTTGCTCCTTGCAGGTCTGGACCAGTGTGGAATATTTCTCCTTGGAGGTGGATCCCATCCTCCATCCTTTGTAGGCCTTTCTTTTTAGCCACAGGAGGTCCGCTAGTTCCCTGGAGAGCCGAGGGGGCTGCTGTGCCCTTTTGCTGCCTTTCCTCCAAGATGGAATAGCCTTAGCTTGTGCATTGAGGATCGCTCCCTTAAGGAGTTTACTTTTCCTGAACTCCCCTCCCCTTTGGGTCATGGTTCCTTAGGGCCTCACCAACAAGCTTCCTGAACTTGTCAAAGTCAGCTTTCCTGAAGTCAAGGACTTATGTATTGCTGACTGACCTGCCAGCTTTACGGCGGATGGTGAAGGTGATCAGCTCGTGGTCGATCATTAAGTTGCTGGTTAGGTTGTCCCCAGTTGCCAGTACCAGGTCGAGCAGCACTCTACCTCTTGTTGGCCTGCAGACCCCTTGTGTCAGATAGAGGTCATCCATGCACAAGAGGAAGCTTTGCGACCGTTCGTGTGGCCCTACCTATTATTGCTGATTGAAGGGGAAGCCCCAGGAGGGGAAGGGATGAGGGGATGGCCGTCACCTTGGCTGCTGGCTGTTCTTTGTGCTACCCCGCCCGCCAGTGCCTTCCCCTCCCAGGCAGGTTGCAAAGCAGCAAGGACCACTGGCTCTTACTGGGGAGCCAGCATTTTATTTTTATTAAGTTTTTTTTTAAGGTTGATTTCATGGACAAGTGGAGATTTTGTGGTTTATGCAAAATCCACAAAATCACGAATTAAGTAGGTCCCTAGGTAGAAGGCACTCCCATCTTGGCCCAGTGTGAGGGGAAGTATTCCTCTCTATAAGTGTGAGACAAGGAGGGTCTTGGAGAAGAACATCTCAGTGAACGGTACTGCTCACTGGTACAGGTCTGGTGCCACAGAGGCTGTTGCTCTAAGGTTTATTTCATACTGGGAAGGGCTTGTTGGTCAATGCTAGTCAGGTAATTCTCAGTACCAGTGATGGTACCAAGTGTCAGTACTGTGTTCTCCCATCCTTTTTGGTGGCCAGTGCCTTGCTCCCTTCTCTCAGGGTAGAAAACTTGCATTTGGTTGAATGGCTTAAGTACTCCTTATGGGATAAGCCTGATGTTTGCTCTGAGCTGTACTTGGGCTCAGTCCAGGTGTGTCACTCTGTCTAAGGGAGTTTCTTTTCCCCCAAGTTGATACTGATGTATTTGGTGCTGAGGCCATTAGGGCCAAGGATGCGAGAGTGATTTATGCTGGTGCCAGAAAGGTCTCAACGCCTTTTCAGGCTGCTTCTCCCTGTGGAACTGAAGACAGAGTACCTGGTTACTGTGGCACCTGCTGTAGATATGCTTCATGCTGGAGTTGAGGAAGGTGTCTCTTCTCTGGGGTCAGACAACTTTCCTGGGTTGTACCAAGAGCTGAAATTTGAGCCCTGCATCTTCTAGTATTTGAGTGCACGATGAGGAGCAGCAGACGGAGCACTCATGTGGGATATGTCCTTCCCTGAGGCACAGAAGACATCTGCTGTGCCCAACAATTAAAGGGAGAAGACTTATCACAAGAACAGGAAGGGTTCAAACCATATGGGTTTAAAATCTGCCATACCGGCAGTTGGTGTGAATTGTCTGTTGTTTAGCAAGGACTTTGCCCATCTATTTTTTTGGGGAAGTGTCCAATAAAAAGTGATAAATAAATAAAGGAACGAAGACAAAATCGTTCACATAAAGATTGAGCCTGAAGATGAAGAAATAGTAGCAATTTGGACACTGTCCAGTTTGTCTTGCAGCCATGGGCCAAAAGCAGGAACCAAGAGAGGGTCATGGCTGCTCTGACCTCTGTGCTCATGCATGAGCAGAGGAAATGCTCAGGCTGCACACATGGCCCCTGCTGCAGCCAGAGCTAGTCAAAAGAGCCAGTCTGAACCCATGCACAAGGCATATGCACACCTGCAGCAGAATCCACACAAACAGTATGTGTTCAAAAAAGAAGGGTTTGTTTCAAAGCAATGTACGAGGAAGGAAAATTATTACTCCCATTTACCAAAAGGAATGGCTTGTTCAAGCCAACAACGTAGTATGATGCAGTTAACTATTATTTTATGTCCAGGAAAGGAGAGGAGTTCTTTTCACTGCATTGCTCCTCCCACTGATGCAGCCACCGAGGGCTCCCTGTGTGAAAATAAACTCCTTGCTTTCTCTCATATTTTTTGGTGCCTCTCTCAGTACTACACAGCATGGAAACAAACCTTCCAGAAGCCTATTCCCAACTAGATATCAGGCTAGAAGGGACCCAATTATTCTGCAACTTGGAAGAAACAAAACTGTGGTCCACACAAGTGAAGGCTTACTGCTTGCAGACAACTACTGACCCATACATAAAAGAATCCTGGTTGTACTGACTGACTGGCAAATCTGACCTGATGCCAAATAATAAAAGCAGATTCTCCCCTTGGTTTCTTTGTAAATGCAGTCAAACATCAGTTTATATTTTCCATTCATTTATTTGTATTTTGATTGTGGGAAAAATGAGTCTACTTCCCCAGCCTCTGGGCACACCTATGTCTTTAAGACATGAGTAAAAATAAAAGTATAACATCTTGCTAACAATTGGCTGCAACTAACAGCCCAAGCCACCCATTTTCCAACTACCCCATGACAAAGTCTAGTGCAGACTCATGAACAAAATCTCCAGCCAAACTCTTAGCAACTAGTTTTACACATCCTTCCTATCTGAAAAGAAGCCTGAAGGTCAGCAAATGGTTCCAGCTAACCGACAAGGGATATGAGCTCCAGAGTTAAGTAACCTGCACTGACAGTGCCTTACCTCCTGCCTCCACAGCAGG